AAAGCAACCTCACTCATATACTTTCCATCTGATAGATAGGTTTGTTTCTATACAACGTACTCTTCTTAATATCAGACTTTTGTTACTAATCTTGATAAGTAAAGTACCTATGACTATACAGGAAGCTCTTACCATCCCTGAATGGCGAAGTGCTATTATGGATGAGATGAAGGCTTTAGGAAAGAATGAGACATGGGAACTTGTTTAACTACCAAAAGGAAAGAAAACAGTGAGTTGTAACAAAATACAAGGCAGATAGAACCCTTGGCAAGTTGAAATCATGCTTGGTTGCAAGGTGGTTTACCTAGACATATGGCTTGGACTATGAAAAAACATTTGCTCCGATCGCAAAACTGAACACTATCAAAGTCCTATTATCTGTAGCAGCTAACCTTGAGTGGCCTCTTCACCAACTTGACATCAAAAATGCTTTTCTGAATGGAGAGTTGAAGGAAGAAGTCTATATGACTCTACCTCTTGGGTTGATAAGGCAAGGCAAATCAAGTTTGTAAATTAAAAAAGTCTATATATGGCTTGAAACAGTCACCAAGAGCTTGGTTTGACAGGTTCTCAAGAGTCCTAAAGTTTGAAGGTTACAAGCAAGCCCTGTCAGATCGTAAAATGTTTGTTAACGTTGAGGGAAGCAAGAAATGCATCCTTATTGTACATGTCAATGACATAATACTCACCAGAGATCACCTTGAGGAGATAGAAAGAGTAAAGGCTGCCCTTAGCAAGGAATTTGACGTCAAAGATCTCGGGAAGCTAAAATACTTTCTTGGGATGGAAGTTGCCAGATCAAGGAGAGGAATCTATGTTTCTTAGAGAAAATATATACTCGATCTTCTTACTGAGACAGGCATGTTGGGTTGTAGACCTGTTGAAACTCATATTAAGGTCGAGAAATCGACGAAACCCAAGGACAAGAATGGAAAAGTGAAAGACTTTGAGGAGGAAGAAAACTTAGATGAGGAGTATGAAGAAGAAAAGGAAGAAGCTACTGACAAGGAGAGATATTAGAAACTTATTGAAAAACTAATATATCTTTCCCATACAAGGCTAAATATAACATTTGCTGTCAGTGTAGCAAGTCAATATATAAGCTGTCTAATGAAGAGTCATATAGAAGTAGTCTACAGGATTTTGAGAAATCTAAAAAATACTCTTGGTAAAGGCCTATTCTTTAGAAAACATGAGCAAACATATATAGAAGTTTACACTGATGCAAGTTGGGGTGGAACTTATAAAGATCAAAGGTCAACCTCTAGCTATTATTCATTTGTGTGGGGTAATCTAGACATATGGAGAAGCCAAAAGCAAAGAGTTGTTTCAAGAAGCAGTGTTGAATCTGAGTTGAGAGCTTTAGCTCAAGGAATAATAGAGGAGTTATTGCTGGTACGAGTCTAGAATGAAATACAGGTTGAAGCAAGTTCACCATTGAAGCTCTACTATGATAATAAAGCTGCCATAAGCATGGCTTTAAATCCAGTACAACATGACAGGTCGAAACATATGGAGATAGACTGTCACTTCATCAAAGAAAAGGTGGAAGAAGGAATTATATATTTGACATATTTTCCTACAAAGTTGCAAGCAGCTGATGTTTTGACTAAAGGGTTGCTTGGCCCTGCATTTGAGAGTTGTATAAGCAAGTTGGACATAATTAGCATTTATAATCCAACTTGAGGGGGAGTGTGAGAATATTTAGTATTTATTGTGAATATTGTATAGTCTTTATTAAGCTTTATTAGACTTTATTAATATTGATTTCCCCTTGTGTATATATAGTCAACTTGTACTCGGTATTCAAATGAATGAGAGTGATTATTTTCTCCCAAATTCCACATTTATCCCACTATGTGAAGTCAGCTCCATGGATCGCATAATGCCATTATGTCCTATCAACAACCAACTCTTCCAATATATCATTCACTAAGAGATCTCATTTGGTAACTTCTTAGAGTGTCTTTCATGGTCTCCCTCTACATCTCTTCATAGGGCTAAAGACCATTTGTCTAACGTTCCTTATTGGCATCTTTATCAACTTTTTTTGCACATGTCTAAACCACCTTAAACAATTTTCTTCCATTTCTCTTTGATAGATGCCACACTATTTTTCCTCATATATAGTTATTGCAGATCTTATCTTTTCTTGTATGATCGCACATCTATCTCAATATCCTTATCTCTATATTTTTTGCTCTTATTGTCCCTTCAATGCCCAACACTTACTCCCATATAACATCATTGATCTTATACAATTTTGGTAAAAACTTTGTTAAGCTTTGTAGTCACAAATTACTTATAATGCATTCCATTTCAACCATCTAGCTTGTATCCTATGCATATCTTGTAAAATCAACCCTCGATGCTTGAACTTGGCACTTGTGGTATGGTTTGATCCCTAATTTTTAACCCTAAATCATCTCTAACTTTATTCTTATTAAACTTGAGTAGCATATATTTTGTTTCTCTTATTTAAGTGAAAACTGTTCAATCCTAAACTTTGTCTCAAAGCTAAAGCTTAAAATTAACTCTTCTCGTGACTACTCAATCACGATATTATCATATGCAAATAGAATGTACTTGGAGATTTTCTCTTGTGTATCTTCAGTCAAAATGCACAAAACCAGGTCGAAAAAAGTAAGGACTTACAAATGATTCTTAATGCAAACCACTCATGTTGGAAGACCTTGGTCTCATCTTTAAATGTTCTCAAACTAGATGTTACCCCTCATACATATCCCTTATAGCTCTTATACATACAACATGAACACCTTTCTTTCCCAAGACTTTCCATAATACTTTTGGTGCTTGACCGTAAGCATCTTTCAGGTCAATAAAACCATGTTCAAGTCTCTTTCTTTACTCGTATACTTTTCCATCAACCCCCTTAGAAGATAAATAGTCTCTATTATAGGCAATCCTAGCATAAATTCAAATTGTTTCTCTGAAATAACATTTTCGTTTCTTAATCTATGCCCGATTACTTTTTCCATAATTTTGTTATCTAACTCATGATTTTATCCCTTAGTAGTTTACACAATTATGGATATCTCCTTTATCCTTGTATAGCACCATTAAAGTCAACAAAATCCAGGTCATTCATTTTTCTTTTTATTGGTGCATTATTTGAGGTCATGAGAGACAGGCCTCATGTCTCCCTTTACATACATGTCTTCTTGTCTAGCCAACAATAAGAAAGTTGAAGTATTCAGTCCTTATTCTTCTTCTCCTTCTATCTCTTTCATGTTTCTTCTATAAATAAAATACAAACTTTTAAAGAATACAACAACAAGCAGCGTTATCTCATTAGGTAGAATTGGCTACATGTATCACACTACATCATTATACTCTATCAACAACTAACTCCTCAGGCATACTATTCACCTAAAGATCCTACTTCTATAGTAAATATGATGTGTACATAAAGAATTGCATATTTTAAGTTTGAATAAATATAATACATCTAAAGTAAATATGGCGGAGTGATTTAGTATGACTTAGTGCACTAAATAATAAATTCACTAAATCTGTAGTAACTATGATTTTTTTGCTTTGGTCCCTTTTGGTCTGCTAATTCAAACTTGTGATCTGGGAGTTTAGTGTGTAGCACTAACCGGCACTCTACAAATTTGTAAGTAAAGAATTGCATGTTTTAAGTTGCTAAGAGAGCTTGCCAGTTAATGTGAAGCAACAACTTTCGAAACTATCAAAAAAAGACAAAAAGGTGGTGGGAAAAGAAGAAATAATAACAATACCAAACTACTTACAGTTGTAAATTTTGTTTGTTTACCCAAGAGGGGAGGCTCCCTGATAGATTGTTGTAGGACAAGTCTCTGTAAGCATTCATTAAAGTTCATTAAGTAAATATCATATAGATGATGGACAATACATTGAAGAATTAAGCTTTTAATTACAATTAGGGTAGTATCAGTAGCATAAGCTTAAAATTGACACGATTTCACCAACTTCTATGATCACAAGCACCATGGCAATGATCCTATAGATCTCAATGGGATAGAGAATTAGAATATTAGAATGTGCGTGCATCATCAGAAGATACATAACCATATATTAAATAGTGCTGGAATATATTAAATACATCTGGGGTATAAGATTTGTTAAGCATATATAACGACATTAATACATCTACACACAAACATATAAATAATGATATTAACACAGCTGCACACAAACATAAAAGTCATATATATTATACTGCATTCTTAATGCACCATGATGCTGTAGAGTCCAAATATGTCAAGAATACTCACATATTGAGAAGCATTGGGCTTATCTGGGTAGGGATAGTACCACTGAGTTTGTTATTTCCAAGAAACCTGAAATTCGAGAAAAAACAAATCATGCTGTCCCAGTCATGAAAGCCTGTCAGGAAATCCATAATTCAATTACTTAGGCACAGCATGTATTTACAAGTGTGTTAGTGAACTCAGATTGAAAAGTGATCCCGGAATCTGCCCTGTGATGTTATTGAAGCTCAGATCCCTGCAAGAACCAACATGCATATGTAATCATTTGGATTTGGAACACAAACACAACTCAAGATATCCAATGAAATAATAAAATAATGTGTATGAAAAATAAGATGGATAGTTGACTTCAACCATTTTCTGCCACATGAAGCATATAATATTGAAGAGAATAAACGAGAAATGGATCATGGAACGTTAGTGAAGAACCCTGGTGAACTAGCAAGTTAATCCTGGGTCAGCAGCAAAGACAATGATTTCTCATCACAAATCACTCAGCTTGATGAACATTTCATTTTGAAAGAATTAGCATTAAGGGTTGTCCTATAGTTAAGCAGTATAACTATCATCCAAAAAGAACGTATCTATTCAGGTTGGAGATATCCAACGGAAACCACTGTCTGATTTGCGTTTTTTTCTGGGAAACAACTTGAAGAAAAATCAGAGTCTATGCTTTTGTTCTTTTCAATACATTATTTGAAAATTCCATGGGCCATTATTTTGAGACCAAGGCTACATACCAGTGACTAGAATCCCATAAAGCATTAAGAGCAATAAGTTTTCATAAAAGTGCAAATGATTAAGAAACTAACGAAGGAAATAATAGGTTTACTGGATCCCTTGAAATCAAGGAAATTACACCTCTGATTTCAAGGGCTGCAAGGCTAACAGCTAGTGTTGACTAGCCTGTATCTCCAACACAAATTTAGCAAATTTAGATACATGGATCGTTTTGCATATCTCTGACGAGTTACATGACCAGGGAATACTCACAGCTGAGTCAAATTTAGAAATTCACCGATATTGGTTGGAATTGAATCAGAAATATTGTTATTTCTCAGTACTCTGCAATATTTGTAACCAAATTGTTATGCTACAGTCTAGAAAGAAAAAGAAAAGAAGAAATATTATCAGGGGAGCTATTGCCTCCCAACTTACAAGACAGTCAAAGACTTCATATTCCTCATAAATGCCAGTGAAGAGCTCCCATTAGATATTTCACTTATTCTCCTACATTTGAGTTATGCATTAAATAATTAGCTCCTGTCAATCTGTAGAATGGACGCAAGGAAATAGTGATGGCACTCACAACTCTGTAAGAGAAGTCAAATTGGTAAATGATGATGGTATAGGGCCTTCAAAAGAATTACCCTGAAACCTCCTAAAAAAAAACAAAAAACAAAGACAGCAATTCTATTCAGTGAGCACAAACTTCTGGAATAGGAAATACCAAGTATCAAACATCTGAATGAATTTTTCTTTACACAAGTTTTATAAGAAAAGGTTTAACTGCTTTTTCCAAATAGGAATGGAATTTCATTAATGAGAAAAGAATTCAATCAATGAACACAAATAATCGTGGTGAAACCATTTCTTTTAAACTGCTCGTTAGCTCATTTATCCCCACCCCCCACCAGGGGGCAGATATTTCTAATTAAAGCTTCTCACATTTCATTCTAACCAAAGTCATTGCATTTCTTGAAATGAAGCACATAGTTAAAGGACTTCAAGCAGATTAGCTAAATAAACTCAATGCAAAATCAAACAGTCTGTTCAAAATTTCCCATGCCACTCCAAAATGTACAAGAGACTTAGCGTCTTTATTTCAAGAAAGGAAAAGGTATTCATAATACTGTCTTACAAGACTGTAAGCTTAGACCAATTTCCTATGAAGTCGGGTATCCTGCCTGAGAGATCCATGTCTGAAGCCCATCTGGACAAACAGGAAAACCAAAGTTATTTCATCGTTAATATAATTATTATCATTTGACAGACAAGAAAAAGTAACAATTCCTTACACTGTCACCAGGTTTTTAAGATTAGCAAAACTGGGAGGAATCTGGCCACTAAGTCCTGAACTATCTAAATAGCTGCATAGAAATTTTATTGAAATTTATATCATCTGCTGATCACATAAAGATCAATAAATTGACATAATCCAGAACAAAGTGAAGAATTGTAAGTTTTATGGTATATAAGCAGCCTCACTACACTGACCTTAAACAGGATAGTCAGGAATGTTGCCAGAAATAAATTGCCAATTATAACCATCCAATATATTTGAAATGCAGCTTATAAATTCTAAGCATGGGAAGAAATGATTCATTACTTTTTTTTTTATTAGAAATAATATGACAGGTACATATTTGAGAAGAAAATATAATGCAAGTTGTCATGTCCATTAGTCTTACTATAACCTACTGGTCTCAGACATTGATTCTTTGATCATAAGCATTTCCAGAAAATTGCCAGCAAAATACTAGCCAGCATGCAGCCAGACATATTCTATAGAATAATCAAACATAAATTAAACACATGCTTGTCATTTCAAAAACTAAAATTTATGGAATTGATACAATGTCTTTCTTATAAGCCCATCATTATAAATAGATTCTACTTCCAATGTGGGACTCTTTCAATTTGGTCATCACAGAAACTACAGATGCAGAGTGCAGTGGAGCTTACAGTTGTTGCAATTTCATGAGATTCCCTAGTTCAGATGGGATAGAACCAGAGAAGTTGTTTGATCCAAGACTCCTGCAGAGTTAACAAATAATTAAGTGGATTGATAGTATCATCAAGAGATATTTCTTAGAAAATCATAATTCTAATAAAACAGAATGGCATTTATTTAAGATATATGATTATTCAAGGTCCTTTATTATCAATTCCACATACTAAAAAAGCCCATTCAGAAAAGAAAAAATAAGAAAAAAGAAATATAACTTCCGAATAATATGATACAATCAGAATATATGGAATAGCAGAATATGAAGTTGCCAGTGAGATCACTCGCAAAAACAGAAAAATAAAATGAGAAGGGGGGGTGGGGAAGGAAATTTCTTTAAAGGGAAGTAGATGACTTACAATACAATTAACTCCGTAAGATTTCCCAATTCCTTGGGAAGCTCCCCTGATAAGGAATTGATGCCCAAGCTCCTAATTAGTATAAATTTACATTGAAGTGAGTTACTGAGTATTTATCATTAGGAACAAGAAGAAAATCCTAACTAATTTCTCGCTATTAAAATGGAAAAAAAAGTTATTCATTTTGAATAAATCTTACCATTATATCAATCTAAACCGTGTGAATAAGAATAATAATCATTTAGTTTCTATGGTTTCAGTTTTGACTTAGTTACAACTCAATCCTTTAAGTTCCACCTGTTTAATCTGTGGGCCCCTACCCTTTCAAAATTCATCAAGTCCTTCAAGTAACCGAGTCCTAAAATGCAAAAACCAGCGGATTAAATGATTGAAACTTAAGAGACTGAGTTGCATGAGTTAAATTTAGATGTAACCGGTTTAAAACTATAGGGACTAAATGATTAATTTTGCCTTTTATCATTTAAAATAAAAAACTATTATTAACATATTCAAACTATCCAAACCAACTGAACGACATAAATTTGCTCGAAATGACCATCTTTTTCCCAAAAGAAATCGAGAAGATCCTTAGGTATGAGAAGCATTTAAAATTTATAATTGGCCTTACAAGTACTGCATGAGAGTAAGATTTCCAATGGCTGGAGGTAGAGAACCCGTCAAGTAATTCTGGCCGAGGTTCCTGATTGCAATTTGAGGAAACTTTTATCATGCTAAAAAATACAGGAATAAACAAGAAAACGAATCCATTGATTTAAAAAAAAAAAAACTTATGAGGAAAGTAGCATACAAATTGGTAAGGTGAGTCAGAGTCCATAGCTCTTCTGGGATTTCCCCAACAACATTCAATGCATAAACCCTCCTGCCATAAAAAAAATGCCAGAAACAAGCGGGGAATAGTGGAAGATGATCAACAAAACAAGTAGCAGAACAATATCAATAGATCAAGTTAAGACAAGACAGAGAGATTATACAGTGCAGTAATGTGGCAAGTGCCATTGGAACAGTCGCATTTGATAAATGGATTGACGTCTTCGACCGCGGTAGTGCTGTCAATGGCTCGTCCGCTGCATAGCTCACCGCTTATATTCCATGCACTTGCTGATGCCGATATTCCCCATTTGCTGAAGATTGAATTCAAACTTGTCGCTACATAAAAGTTCAAAATTTTGAAGAAATTACATGAGATGCGATAGAATTTCCCACTAAAGTTTCCTTTTCCATTGTTCTGAAGCGCACCGTGAAAAGAGAATCGAATCCCACAAAATTAACAGGTACTATTAATTATTATAAACTAATTACAGACGAGCCGCTCGGGAGAGGAATAAAATGATCAGAAAGATGCAGTTAAAAAAAAAGAAAAAAGAGTAATTTTATAAATATAAAATATTTCTTACATGTTTTTAATAAAAAAGAAATAAAAATATTGATGGCTAAATTATACAAAATTCCGTAAGACTCTTAAATCATGTGTGTATAGATAATTTCTTTGCCATGTTAACAGTAAACTTCTATGAACTTTCGCATGCATGAAGATAATGGCGGGTGTGCTTCTTCACAGATGTTATATATGTTCTTGGTTAATTTAATGTATCACTTCAACTGAAAATTAAGTTGATCAGCTACAAAAGAGCAGGCAAAATCCAAGTTTATATTAAACATTAAATTTTAACAAAAATAAACACAGAATTATCAAGTTTAAAAATTCTATCATCAGCATCTCTGTTGTAATTATTTCTAGGTGAACTGCTTAATTTCCAGGAAAAACTTTCTATATCCCAGACAGAGCTCAGAGAGAGAGAGAGAGAGACCTTCTGAAGGATCTGTGGTAGCGTTTTGAGCTTGTGATACAGAAACCAAGCAGCTGAAGAACACACACAGAGCAGAAGCAATCGCAAAAGCCATGACTGGTACTGAAGAAGACGACAAAGAAGGAGAAGAAGGAGCAATATATGAAGTACTTGATCGATTATATATTCAACTGAGATAGCTTGTTATGATCCAGAAGCTGAAGAAACTAAACTAATAGAAATTCAGATCGGAAAATGAATGGAGCTTTGAAGGATATGCAGAGCCACCATGAGTAGTCCATAGATGAACACATGATACCGACATATAGAGTAAACTATATATGCATATATATATCGCCATCGTTTAACTATGACAATATGGCTTAAATTAATCGGGTAGTTGCTGGTCCTGAAAGAGAAAAAACCGAGTTGCCATGTGGATCCTCTCTTCTCTTATCAAATTGTAATAGCAAATGGATTAAATGGCAATTTGCATTTTAATTCTAAATTATAAGTAAAGAGAGTTCGGATTCTATACTCTTTTTTTTTGTATAATGTTTCTCTTTAACTCTTAAAAATAATGCAATGTTATTATTATTAATAATAAATGATAAATTTAATCATTAGTTGACTAAAAAATAATAAAAAATAATTTAAAAATTATAAAAAATATCACAAAATTATAAAAACAAAATTAAAAATTGCAGAAAAAGTCCAAAAATTTGAGATTATTTTCTATAATTTTTTTATCAATGAAATATTAAAATTAATTTTTATTAACAATAGGACAATATTACAATACTTCCAAAAGTTGAAAAAAGATATTATATTAAAAATAAGTTTAACACATCAAACATTTCTAGACTTATAATTTACAGTCTAAATTGTCATTTAATCCAACGTAAATTACATAAGTATGAAAGTAATTAAAAATTGTTATGTCTTTTATGATATTTATTTAACAAGTTTTATTTTCAGTATTTTTGGAATAAAAATACTAAAAGATACTCACTCCGTTCAAAATGCAAGGTATTTTTTAAAAAAATTAAATGTTAAAAAATATAAGATATTTTTAATCTATTCGAAGTATAATCATTGTCTTTTTTTTTATAAGTGTCTCTATTAATAATAATTTTATATTTATTATAAAATATTTAATAGGAATAAATATAAAAATATCTTATATTTCTGAATAAAGGAATTATATTTTTATTGAAAGGAAAGTATACCATTTGGGAAATTATTGGCCACTTGGAGGCTAATATACGAATATGAAAAAGGGGAGTTGGAAATTATAAACTGCCACTTGTTCCAGTGATTCATCAAGTTATTAATGTGAAAGATGCTAAGTTTGACTGAGTTAAATTGATGAAATGAGAGGCTTTAAATTTTAAAATCATTATTTAAGTAACTAAAATTCGTTAGTAAAAAATTTAAAAAAAAAAAAAGGAATGAAAATTCTAATTCTAAAGGGGTGAGATGGGACCCCGTAAATATGTACGTCGTGACAAGTAGGCGTTAAGCCGTTGACTCGTAAAAGTAGGTGGCGAACGCTTGCCAAATTGCCATGCAAAGTTGACAATTCAAAATCGCATCGTGATATTATTTAATTAATAATTTATTAATTAGTTTTAACTAATTTCTTAATTATGTAGCCTTATCTTCCTCATTTGTACGATAACTATCAGATGCATGCCTACGTAATACAATTACGTAGTCATTGCTTTGGAAATAAAAAAAAAAACAGAATAGACAATAAATTGAGCAAAATAATTTTAATATTTTACTTTGGTCCATATCTATATATTTTTACAATAGAACAAGAATATATTTTATTAAATTTTTAGAATTATTTTTCAAAATTAAAAAAGTAGTCGTTTATTTCTAATGTTTTATTGAAAATTTTCTCAAAAATAAATAATAATTTACATATACTTTCTTAGTTTTTTTTTTTAAATTACATGAAAATTTCCATGAATAAAAGAGAAGTATATGTAATTTCTTAAAAATTAAAAATTTATTTAATTATTTATTTATTTTTATTTTAAAACCTAGTATAAATAGAAGGCATGCCCATGAAATTTAAAAAAATTAAGGAAATCTTATGTAATTTAATTTACTATTTATTCCAAAAATAAAATTTATTGGATTTAAAAAATGTAACAAATTTATGTATATTTTTATTAATTAGAATCATGTTAAAAAATTTAAAATTATTAATTTGTCCACATAATTTAATTGTTTAATCTCCCTCAAATTTAAATAGTTTTCAAAATTACGTAATACGTAAAAATTTTTAAATTGATCTAATTTTATAATCAATAAAAAATTAATTATATTTTATATAAAATTAATTATATTAAATAAACATAAATTATATTGACTAATTTATTCCTTTTTCCATGAAAATAATAATTCATTAATTTTTAAATAGCTGTTTGAAATATTATTTTAGCCAATTTATACATTCAACATTTTAAAAAAAATTACTAAAATAGAACTATATATAACTAATAAAAGTTAAAATATGACTAAAAAACTTACACACACACACACACACACATATATATATGAGAATTATTATTACATCTTGATTATTAACTTAACTATTTTTAAAAAAACATTTATGTTAATAAGAAATATTTTAATTCATAATATGTTATTCAGCGATCAATTAATAATAGGATGGATGAAAATAAAGTCTTAGAAATGAAAGAAAGATCATTGTTATGCAATTGTTTATTTTAGGGAAAGTTTATATAAGCTTTTAAATAAAATAAACTAGAGAGTATTTCAGCATATATTTTACTAAGAAAATTTCAATCTTACATTTAGAATATTGTTATATATTTATAATTATAATTACAAAATTCATATGTCCACTTGGACAACATTATTTAGCTTTAAATTTCAATCAGACAGAAGAAGGCATAAAATATTACTTAAGCTGTATGTTTAAGTTTTTCCCTTTGAAGTCAAAATAAGGAAAACTGAAAATGAAACACGTGTACGTACTTGTTTTGAATTCGAATTAATAATATTATTAATTACTAAAACCCCGCCAAATTAGAATAGAACTACATAATCTACTCTTCAATTAGGAAACATGTAAGTTTTGAAAATATAAATAATATCTACATAATTAGAACAAAATATAGGGAAATCACGTAATTTACTTTTTTTTTGGGCCAACACGTAATTTACTTATCATTCTTAGAAAAGAGTTATTTAAATTTTGAAAATATATCAAATGCCTTTACATAAATTTCGCAGAACTGTCCGTTTAATTCACTACAAAAAATAATTATAATTTTATTAAATTATATATAATCAATCTTCCAGGCGGGAAATGTCCAAAGTTTTTTTTTTTTTTTGGTTGGGTGAATAAGAAATGTCTCAACTCTGAAGTTATCCATGAAAGTTGTTCTGGGCAAAAAAAAAAAATCATGAAAGTCCTTTATTGCAAACTCAAACATAGAAAATTACTATATAAAAAAAGTCAAACTCAGAAAAAAAAAAACTGAGAAATGAAATAGGTGTACAGAGAGCCTCCTTCTTCCTTATATTTCCAATAACTAGTTAATTAGCAATGCACCGCCAAATTAGCAGCCATAGCTTTCAAAACCATGCGGATATTAACTACATAATAACAAAAAAGACCGAGTCTTTTCTATTTTCTTTCTTAATTATTTTGAGTTTTGGTATTTTGATTCAGTAAACTCCAAGAAAAAGAATAATTCACAACCATCTGAATCGATTGGTAATGAGATATCCTACTAAATAACTCTATTTTTGACCATTTATATATTACGCATGAACCCTCTATATTTATCCAAGTTTAAAAGATTTTAATTATTTTTCATAAATGTAAAAATCATGTAATGTAACTTTTTGTAAGAAAATTCATGTGAATTTTGATATTTTAAAATAATTACAGTCTTAGCAGTCATAACTTAGAATATCGTATACTAATTCGTTTCTAAAAATCACTTTAATTTTAAACTAATTTAAGGATTTTATTAAAAAAATAATTTAATTGATTAAACTAGGGAAAGGGGACTAATTTATTCTACCTCGGTTCCAATTAATTTCAAAATACCAAGTAAGTCAGGTAATAAAAAAAAGTTTAAAATAACATGTTGATAACATGTTGATATATTAGAAAAAGTTTAAAATACATTTGGTAATTCAGGTAAAAATTTCTTAATTTTATGATTTTATTGTGATGAATTTATATCTTATTTTTTTAATTTTAACAAAGAACACAATTTACATGTTTGGCTTCCAATTTTGTAACTTCAAACTAATGAATTTATAATTTAATTTTCAAATATTAAGAGAGGACACAGACGTTAATGTTCATATTCAAAGTTGAAAAATAACAAAATCATTATTTTAGCAACTTCAAATATTTGTAAGTTTTTCTCTTAATTTTGTAATTCTGAATTAATGAATTTGCAAATTATTCTTTAAATTTTAAGAGAAAACACAAATGTTAATGTTTAAAATTTAAAAGTAACAAAGTCATTATTTTAATAGTTCTAGAGATTTGCAAATTTTGCCCTTAATTTTGTAACTTTGAATTGATAATTTGTAACTTATTGTTTTAAATTTTAATCATATATTTAATTTAAGGGTATTTTAATAAATTTTTTTATATTTATATTTGTCAAAAAAAAACACATGCGACTTTGTTGATATTTTTAAATTGATTGAGACTTAAATTGAATTAATTAATTTTTTAAAAGTTAGTTGTCATTCTTACATTAAACTCATTTAATTCAGGTGTGAGGGTTGGCAATGGAGTTGTTTATTTTCATTGAGAAACTTTTTAAAAATAGTTATTAATTTGTTATATTAAAATTATCCATTCTTATAAAATAACTGTCAATTTTTTTTAACCATTTGTAAATAAATTTGAACTTCTTTTATTAACATTGGCTACTTGATCCAGTCCTTTTGCATTGAAAAGATAGGTAAAATTTATATATTTAATATACTTTTATGTTTTATCTAATCAAATCAAGAAAAATAAATTTTAATATATTAAAAATAAGAATTTGTCATCAAATAGATAATATATAAAAATTTCACATATCTGGATGTAATTTGAAACAAGTAGATTAAATATATAATACTCAGTATATAAGTTTTTTTAAGAAAATTGATGGTTTTTTTTTTTTTTGGTCCTGAATGAGATATTTTCAGGGAAAGAGATAGAATAGAAATGTTTGAAAATCACGACATTTTCTTTTGTTTTTTATTTGGCCGACAATGTTTTGATCAAGGCGTTTATGTTTCTTCTGGCCAGATTTTTAGCGACATTT